CATTGAAATTTGTAGACCTCAACAAGTCATATGTAGTACACGATGTACACTTTTTAAAAAAATAAAGTTACGTAAGATCCAAGATCATCTTTTTGACTTGCTTATAAGCACTGTAAATCAATAAAGTTTCTGTTATGAATAATTTCTAGTTATGATTCTATAGAGGCATAAGTACGTTCATTTGAGAATTTTTGTGAAATATTAGAATAAATTGCATAAAGTGAATAATTCTTCAAGCTGAATTTTCTTTCCCACAAGAGCTCTAACCCTTGATTTTTCAGCAGTCCCTATGGTTGGACAATTTCAAGAATTTCACTGCAATACTTTCGATATCGATCCAAACACTCCTCCACAATGGCAGGATGTCGATCAGTATTACGACGAACTAATGCGATTAGAGGGAGAGGAAAGCTTATAGCTTGAAATATACACAATTAAAATGTTCTCTTATACCAGCATGCTCCAACTTTCTTTCGTCTGCGTTCATCATTTCCATATGTTCGAGGTTTTTTTATCTAAAGGATTTCTTGCAGACCACACGTGTCTAGTCGTTTTCTGTGCCACACACATCGGTTTCTTTCATTTTCAGTCAGCTACATGTTAAATGGCCATGTTCATGTTGTCAAAATGATTATTTTCTTGGTACTATCTTATTTTTTTGCATTCACGTAATAAAAAGTTATATTAATCATCTATTGCTGTTTTTTAACCTTTTAAATTCAAATCGCTTCCTTAGTCATAGAGTATCCTCTAGATGGGCATTTAAGTGGTAAATAACTATATAAAACACTGTAAGCACAAATATGTCAGGAAAAGACCTTGTTCTTAATCTCAGTAATGCACAGATTTTGAGAGACCATCATCTACTGCATAGAGGAATATGTCCTGATAGAATTGTTTTTTCTTTATCACTGACGCGAATTAGAAGAAATTTATAATGTAGGCTTCAAAAAATGCAACTAAGACTCCTAAGCCATGAAATTTCATAATGCATTTGTTCCATGCTCAAGCTGTTCTGAATACGCACTTTATTCTTTTATTCAAAAAGAAACACTGCATTAAACATATAGAAAAAACTTAAAAAACCTTGTGTTCGAGTCACAGGTAAGGTTAAATAAATGAAAACAGGAAAAGGGAGTGAAACATGAGCCAAATAAAATTTTTTTTTAAAATTTTTGCTTTGATATGATTATGGAGTCCCACATGCC